GGCACGTGTTGTGAATGCCTCCAGAAAGGAAGGTTAAGCAGCTGTTTCTTGCGAAACCGACTGGCATAAGTCCTAGGCGCTGCCGAGAACAACCTGATGGATTTGTGTGGAAGGAGTCTGATCCAGACTCCAGTTGTCTTCTGTCGAAGCTGAGATTATGGCAAGGATCAAGAATGTTGGACGCTCTTTGTGATGCGTCTGCCTCCGCGATCCCAGAGGAGAAGCGGTCATGAAAGATGAGTAAAATGGTGGTGTTGTGTCTCTTAGTTGTAGATATCTGAGGCATCGTTTAGCGGTCATAGCTCCACGTTGCTTTTTCGCACCGTTTGAAAATAAACCCGGACGGTCGTACCCTGTTCGTTCGTCCGGCATTAGTATACTTTTCCTAGCCCGGGTTTGCTGTTAACGTGTAGCTTTATATGGTCGCTGCTGACCCCCTTAGCTTGGTAACGTTTATGACACCAGCCTGTGTCGTGAACTGATGTTCTTATGCTCATGACAGATTTGGAAGGCGAAGAAAAATACGTGATATCGAAGAATGTCTTTCCATACTTGGCCTTTTCTCAGCCTACATATTTTGTACGAGATTTAATTTAAAACGTTAAACGAGCTTTCTTTTAACACAGTCGATTTGATATGAGGTAAGAACTACCTGTAATTCTATTCATGGTTTCGATGTCATCTCTGGGTTTTGACCATTGGTCCCCATTCTGGCTATGGATTTCAGTGGTTGTGAGTGTAAAAATGTTTTGGAAAGAATGCAACTTGTGATTTGAGATATATCACTATCACTTTGTAATGAATATTTTTGTCATTCCTCAATTGTTACGATATTTGCGTTATTACTCCAACCGTTCCATGTGTGAAGTGAAGTACGCGGTGAAACGGGAGGTATTTTTTTATGACTTTGAGCATAGTGGTTATTCTTTGCGTGTTTAGGACTGACGACACCCTTGGATGTGGCGAAAACTAGGATCATGCTGTCGTTTCGAGTGAATCAAGAGTCTGAGGGAATCGTGCCGGTCCTACGGGACATCTGGCAGGTTCACGGCCTGCGAGGGATTTTCTCTGGCTTTTCGCCTCGTGTCATCTGGATGAGCGTCGGCGGATTT